TTTTGTGAACAAAACAATGGAATAAATAAGACCCAGATTTTATTTTTCCTGCATTTTCTAAGAACTATAAATCTTTTTTCAGATCAAGGACATGGCACTGAAGGCCTCAGGAGCCTACAAAAACTGCAAGCCATGTTCACGGTCCTGCAATGACAACCGGAACCGGAACTATGCTGAATCCGATGCCAACTCGGAGTCCGCGAGGTTCCACTACTCGTACCGGAGAACAATGGGGAGCTCGAATTCGACACCCAGGCTATGGGGGAAGGAGATGGACAGTAGACTTAAAGCCCTATCCAGCGGGGAAGGGACGCCCGCGTCAGTGAGTGGACGGACGGAGTCTATTGTTTTAATGGAGGAAGATGAGCCTAAAGAATGGGTGGCACAAGTGGAGCCCGGTGTGATCATCACTTTTGTTTCTTTGCCCCAAGGAGGAAATGATCTCAAGCGTATTCGGTTCAGGTACTTTCTCTTGTTTGGAGTTGATATGATGGTGAAGATTCTGATTTTGGTGGAGTGTGACCACATGCTTTTGCTATGGTGCTGCCGTTTGAACCACTGTATCTTTTTGTCCTTTGTGTTTTGATCTTTTTCTGTTTGTTCTTGATCTGGAAGTATACCTTCTGATTCTTTGAATGTGACTACTTGTTTCTAGTATGGGAATGTTGATTGGGGTTGGTCTATCGTCACATTGTCCTTTGTAGTTGGACTTTTAACAATATAATGAGAGTGTGGGATTGTAGCAGGTAAGTTGCTTGTGAACTGTCATTTCTCACACTCATTTGTGTGGTAGGTGGCCCTAGAATAAGAACCAGCTGATACTCTTCAAAGACTTGAGCTGTCAAAGAGTTTTATTTTGTTTTTAGGATCTTAACATTCTACCATATTCCCAAGACCTGACGTGCTCATCATTAGCCCACCTATTGATACTTATCTGGTGGTACTCTCTCCTTTCATGGGTAGCTTTACTCATCTACCAGTATTCAATGACTTAACATCATGCCAAACCTAATACCAGTGTATATTAATCCATTCTATGGGATCAATCCGTGCTAACTCGAGTGTTGGATGTGGTGTCAAGGAGAGAAAGACTTCAGTGATGAGACTTTACAATTGTAACACACTTCGTATGGGTCTTAAATATGGGGGAGGCCTACATCTCTATAGTTTTGTTTCATTTCCATTAAGTTTTGCTAGGTGATTACAAAGTGGTTAAAAGCAACTCAATATGAATATCTCGCCTTTTTAAAGAAATACAGACGTACAGTAGCTCCACATTATGTGAACTTATGTCCTGTACAGATATACTATTAACTGTTTGTTAGGTCACAAGTAAGAGTTCTAAATCAGCAAAAGAATAGTCCCAGTCTTGAATCAGTGTCATCTAATTATATGTTGACATATTTATCAGTCTTGTTCCGCAGTCATAATCAACAGGATTTGGTGCTTATCCCAAAGTTTTGTTTGCTTGAGTGAACTCTTATTCACCCTGTGATATATTGCCTACTTGTTGATCATGTTGTGAATATTCTAAATCTACTAATCACTGTCTTGTAAATTTGATCAGTCGTGAAATGTTTAACAAATGGCAAGCTCAAAGGTGGTGGGCAGAAAATTATGACAAGGTCATGGAACTGTACAATGTCCAAAGGTTCAATCACCAAGCAGTCCCACTTCCAACTCCACCTAGATCTGAAGACGAGGTGAGCTCATCCCCAATGTAATTATGCAAATATTTTCTTCTTGTTGGTAACCTAAGGTAAGTAAAGGTCAAATAAATTTTATTTATCAAGTATTCATTATTGATTCTAGAAGGATCAACCAGAGAACATCTGTTGTAATTTGGGCATGAGGTTGAGACACTTTTTATCACCAACCAAGGTTGTAATATGGAACATTTTGTTATCTGTTGTATTTCAGATCAATTTAGTTATAATATGTTGGCTACCTCCATCCCTTTCCTTCTCACTAAGTTACTTTGATTCATGAATTACTTTGCTATCTTAACAACATCAACTTTGGTGATCAATTTTGTATGATTGGAATCACATTCTAGCGTTGATGATGTACATTTCTAATGTTTAAAAGTAATTTTTTTCTTCCCCCTCTTCCAGAGCTCAAAGGTTGAATCTGCTAGGGACAGTCCTGCGACTCCCCCACTGAGCAAAGAGCGCTTGCCACGGAACTTCCACAGACCAATGGGAATGGGGTACTCTTCATCTGATTCACTTGACCACCATCCAATGCAATCCCGTCCTTACTGTGACACCAGTGGTCTAGCTTCAACACCTAAACTTTCCAGCATCAGTGGGGTGAATGAATCATCATCAATAGATGGTTCTGTAAGGACTAGTTCAGAGGTAGATCGCTCAGGAGAGCTTTCAGTTAGCAACGCTAGTGATACGGAGACTGAGTGGGTTGAACAGGACGAACCAGGAGTGTACATCACTATAAGAGCATTGCCAGGTGGCACTAGGGAGCTTAGACGTGTCCGATTCAGGTAACTAGGTTTCTATATTGTGAATAGTTAAGTTTTGAGTTGATTATTGCTAAGTTTTATTTTGTACTGCCTTGCTTGTGGCATTAGTGATTGTTTTGTTCTCCACTGCTGTCTGAAATAGTGAGAACAGAGACCGCGTCAGTACATTTGGTAGTTTTCTTTTTTACATTCCGGTGAAGTGTGGATTGTGACACTATTTCCCTATGGATGGTATCACATGCAAACCAAAGCCTTCCTGTTCTTTTACTGTTATTTTTTTGTTTGACTTGCAAAGCTGGACCTTAATTCCACAATGAAGTGAGGCTTTTCAAGTATACCAATTTATCTTTTGCACTGGTCAATTTGGCTTGAATATGAAACTTATTTTCTGTGTCCTTTGCTTTGCAGCCGGGAAAAGTTTGGCGAAATGCATGCGAGATTGTGGTGGGAAGAGAATAGGGCAAGGATTCAAGAGCAGTACTTATGACTTGGAAGTTAGCACATCTTTCAGATGGTGGTGGCTCATGGAAATTGCATTTCCTCTTGAAAATTACATTAAACAACTGTATGTTCTTAGGCTCAATCTCCTCAACAAAGCTTTCATTTATCGACTGTGCCCCAGTTATTAACTTAGGTTAAATATATCTCTGTGAATTCTGGAATTTCTTTTTTCAATTTCGGGTGGATAATGTTGTTGGTTTCATGGGAATTTGGTAAATGGGTGCATAAAATGGGGATAATGTGAAATGTTTACAAGAATGAAATTTGATCTATAATGGACATATACTTTTCATTTTACTCAAAATGTAAACTGCTCTCAGTTTCTTAATCTGAAATGTAATGATCTTGGTTGGTAAAAAGTTTTCATGTTTTGTGCTCCTATCAACAGGCTATTACATTTGCTTGAAATTAGTGTGTGGCTTTCTTGAAGAGTTGTCTTTCACTTCCCCCCTCCTAAATGCAAAATGAAGTTTCTTCCTTTAACACCCTCTAAGCATCATAAATTGATGGGTTTATACTTCCATAAAAATGTAGATAAATAAATTGATTTTAGGCCAAATAAATAAATAAACATTAGTGCAAACAGAAAGGCCGAACACTCATTTTAGTCCTTGGACTTTTGCCTCCCCAGCAATGGATTTCTTTCATTCAATAGGAAGGATAACAACATTGCGTCGACATGTTTACATCTTTCATTCAATAGGAAGGATAACAACATTGCGTCGACATGTTTACATCTTTCATTCAATAGGAAGGATAACAACATTGCGTCGACATGTAAACTGTGACCTTGTTAAAACCTTTCCGGAGAAAACTCCATGCAACAAAACCATGGTAGTCTTTAAAGTTCCTTGGAATTTCTCAAATTCTGTTTTAAAATTTGCCAAACATGTTACTCTCTGACCATATGGGAATTTCAAATTCCACATAACCCGAATCCCATCTCAAAGTCCCTCGAAAATTCTGGCAATAACAAAAACGCGCGAGATGTGACGACCCTGGTCTAGCAATAGACCAATCACACAGCAACAGCTGTCCGTCTGTTCATATAAATTCATTCATTCTTTTCTCTCTTGATTTCCCCTCCAGTCAGAAATTTCGAATTTCGTTGCTGCTATGGACCCATACCAAGGCGGAGAGAAGAAACGGAAAAGAAAGAGAAATAGCCTGAAAGAAATGGCGGGGGCTCTGGCTGTGGTACCATGCGAGCAGTGGCGGAGCGCCATTAGAAATTAGAGAGAGAGAGAGAGAGAGAGCAGTGGGAGGTCCACTTCCTCCTCTGGCTACCTCCACTCCACCACGTGTCCCGATCTCGTGCCTCTGGATCCAAGCACAGAAAGCGATGGCCATTTGAAAGATGTATCTCGATTCTCTTCCAACTCCGACGTCGTCCTCACCGTCTGTTTCACTGTCAAGATTCTGGTGAGTCTACGCTGCCTGTCTCGATTACCTTCTCGTCCTGTTGACTTTAACCAAGGGAAAGCGAATTGAACTAGTAGTACGATTGAAATTCTAGTATCTTTCATAGCACGTCTCCACCGTGACTAAATTCTAGTGCTGAGAATTTTTCTGAATTTTTTTTTGGTGTGAAGAATTTATTTGAATTTGAAGGCGTGAGCAATGAATGATATAATGAAGAGAATTTGTTACTTGTGTCAAATGTTTAGATCCTTCTGGAAGTATCCTTTGATTCAATTTTCTATATTAATTTATCACAAGATTTTACGATCGATTTCCGAAAAAAACTGTACGGAGGAGGGAGTTGTCTTCATAAAAAACTGTACACATAAAAAAAAATATATATTTACAACCAGTGAAAGTGATTCGTTTACCCTAAATATCTCAAACAGTAGTTTCTGTAACACATACACGATCGCTAATTGATACCAAATATAGTGTTTCTTATGTAGTTTAGTAGCTCCAGATGTGAAGTACGTATCTGCCACTCCTGGTTCCCCTGTGAAGGACATTTGTGGTGTTGCTGGCAGAGCTGGTGAAGGAGGAAATTGTAGGAGCGGAGCTAGGGCTTAAACGGCGTAGGAGGAGCTGGCAAAGGCAAAGTTGGTGGAGGCTTAGTTGGCGAACTTGAAGCCGGCATAGGCGAAGCTGGTGGAGGTGTAGCCGACAGAGGCGGAGATGGCGGAGAGAGACGTGGAGATGGATGAGGCATAGCCGGCAAGGGCGGAGATTGTGGAGGCGTAGCCAGTAGGGGAGGAGATGGCAAAGGCAGAGGCAGAGATGGCGGAGGCGTATCTGGAAAGGGCGGAGCTGGTGGAGGCATATCTGGCAAGGGAAGAGTTGGCGGAGGTGGCAAAATCAGAGCTATTGGAGGTGTAGCCGGCACAGGCGGAGATGGCTGAGGCATAACGAGCAAAGGTGGAGATGGCAGAGGCGTAGCGGGCAAAGGCGTAGCTGGCAGAGAAGTAGTTGGTTTGTCCCCTGACTTGAGGCAAGGAACATTGGGCACAGTAGTGCCAAGGGAAGTTCCAATAGCATTTCTGCAGGAGGCATAAATCTTCTTGCCAGGAACTGCAGAAGTGATTTTGATGCGGTCCATTATAATGTTGTGGCAACCTGAATTCTGGTCACAATCTAACTTGATCGCCTCCTCACTCGCAGAAGTTCCTTCAAAATCAATGTACTTCACATAATCCACCGACAAAGCCGAAGCCTGACTTTTGCAGTTGTGATCACGGTCACAATAAAACTGGTCAATGATGATAGGATTTTTAGCTGCATCGAGTGTGATCTTCTCAAAGGTTATGTTCCTAGCATACACCGACCCGCCCTGCCATGTCTTGATTCTAGCTCCATTTGTAGTCCCACTGAAACTACAATCTTTCACGTACACATTGTTCACTTCCTCAAGCGCCCCATTTGCTCCCAAGCTTCCCACACTTATTGCAAAAGAAAATTTTAAGTTAATATGATATTATAAAAATGTTTGTTAGGAGAACATTACTCGAAAGAACTAGACACATTTGTTACGAGAGGTAATTACCTTGGAATCATCAGTTTTTCCGTCTCCAACGGCACCATACTTGAGAACATCGAATATTCTTTGGCTATACACCAAACCAATCAACTGAGATGAAGCAATGTAGAGTATCAAGAGTCCAACAAGCATATTCTTCATGTTGTTTACGAAACAATGAAGAAGAAACCAGAAAGATGGCAAAGTAGCTAAATCTCTCGGCACTAGAACAAAGTGATCCTAATGGCGTTAGTATATATGATATTCCCAAAGGGGCTCCTAATTATAATAAGTTTTGTTTTCCAATTAGGAAATAGAGTCGTTTTAAAGGGTCAAAAGACCTACAGGCTTTGAGTTTTGCATGCATTAATTAGACTGCCTATTGACCAAAAAAAAAAATAATAATAATTAGACTGCCTTTCCAAAAATAAAATAAACCAATATCTAATCAGGAATTGGATCAGCAATCAGCCTTGTTTTTAAAGCATCTTTGTTTGTTCTTTAGAGAAAACAACAATATTTTCTAAATTCTAAGTCCGCAAATATTTTATAATTTTAAAAAACAGCAACACATTGTTTAAATAATTTCTTTTAACCAGTATTTTCTGAGAAATTAAAGTTTAATTCAACAAAATATATGCAAGCCACCTAACTTGGCCTAGGCACGGATCGGTTCGGAACGATAGAAGGCTCTTCCGTTAACCAAACCAAAGACTTCGGTATACCATTTTCTCTTCTGTTAACCAAATCAAAGACTTCGGTAGACTTCGGATCGGTTAACCTAATATTCGGTTTGGATTGGCCGGTAGACCGGTAGTACCGTAATAAAAACATACTAATAAAAATACAATTTATAATACTTTCACATAACATAAGTTCTTAAACAAATACACCAAATTATCCTTGTAAAATGTAAAAATCCAATAGTCTAATTCATCCAAGTATGAAATCAAATAACTTAGTCACTATATCATTCAATATGTACTCAAGATGTACTAGGAGCCACTTGTGTTTGTTGTTTGAACATTTGAGTGTTCTTTTTATCGAATTCTCTACATTTATGTTAATGATTTTGACATTTGTTTAGCGCTGGGTTCTTTAGTTTTTCATGATAAATCCAACCATATAAATAACATACAATTGGGATCAATAGTTGGAAAGTTACAGATAAAAAATGGGGCAAATGTCGAAACTAGAAAACATAGGAAGTTCATAAATTCTTCTCTGACCAAAAATTGCTACAGTGCCCGGGTAAGTGATATAATGGTGATAAAGAAGTGATACAGTGGTGATAAAGCAGTGATAAAATGGTGATAAAGAAGTGATACAATGGTGAGAAAGAAGTGATACAATAGTGATAAAATGAGTTATATAAAATGTTGATTGTATTTACCTTTGGTTTCTTGTTTTGTATTTAAATAATAAAATAAGTATGAATATTGGATCGGTACGGATTTCCGTTGGGTTATGAATTTTGTTTCCACTAACCAAAACAAACATTTAGGTACGGATCGAATTGGAATAATTAAAATAAAAAATAATTATTTAACCAAACCGTCAGTACGCGGATAATTCAGATGAGATGCCCACCCCTACACCTAACATACGATGGTGTACAAGTCTTACTTGCCAAATACCAGCCTAATTAAATTGAGATTGGAACTAATACTTACCTATTTTCGCTCAAAAGATATTGCTAATTTTTATGTGTTGCTCAATAATATTGCAAGCATTATGTCATTAGTTGTAGAAAAAATTCCATTCGACGTGTCATCGTAATACTACCATATGGTTTTACTAAAACAAATCTATGGGTGAGACTGGTTTATATTTTAGAATTAATAATACAACGTGACAATGTCAAGGTCATCTAAAAATTTCTCTCGACAAGACCTCAAAACAAGTTGATTTCTTTTCTCTTAAAAGAAACAATCTTTAGACGCATCCATGCATAACCTATGCCACTAAAAACTGCTCCAAGAAAATGGGTTTTCATGTTATTTGGTCGCGGACTGTTACATTGAGAAGTTTTTCTTATTCTAGTTAGTATTTTGTTAAAAAGAAGTCATGATTCAATGAGAAATGAGAACCAATATGAAATATAATTTTGACTTTTACAAAAAATAAAAAATAAAAAAAATCTATAGCTGTGTTAAAGGATTACATGATTTTGTGTAGAATCAAATGATTGTCCAAAAAGTACAGAAACATAGTTTAGTCTTTGTCTTGTTTGTTGTGTTTTGTTGGCGCTGTTTAGGCGTTTTGTTAATGAAGATCTTATTCAGACCAAAAAAAAAAAAAAAAGTAATGTAGCAAACACCAAAACAAATCCCACCAACAAAATAATTTGCCATTTTACTAATCCCATCACTTTGTAGTTCCGCACTTTAAAATCTCATTTCCTCACTTTTAAAATCTCATCACTTTAAAGTCTCATCACTTCAAAATCCCTTATCCTCACTTCTAAGTGAATTGGGCGAATTTAGTGTTGTGTATGGATTTAGCATGAGGTCCAAAAGAAAATTTTCTATGCATTTTTTTTTCGTAGTGGTTCTATAGTTAATAAAATACGGCGTAATGCTAGAAACAACAAAATGCCATAATTTTTTTCTTCTTCACAACATTGGAAATTAAGTTATTATGCGATAAAAAGAAAACTCATTGATTACAATAACAATATATTTTTGCAAATAAACATAACTTTACTCATTCTTATATAAAATGCTGAATATATCCTTATCACCTTAAACGTATTGAATAAAATAATTTGAAAAAAAGAAAATAAGACTATTGCATAGTAATAATCACACATTGTTTTACTTCCAAATTGGTTCCTAAATTCGATTCGTTGCATGGACCTCAATTTATTTATTCCAATTCTAACTCTCATAAAGTTAAATGTACCTTAAAATATTTTTGTTAAAAAAGATACATAACTCTCATCATTGTATGTAATAATAAAGCTTTTTTTTTTTTTTTTTGGTTCATTCACTATGGAAGGGACGGGGGAGTATTATATTGGGTTGCCTTAAAGAGCACTTCCAATGAAAGGGCTTACTCAGGCAAAAGGCCCCCTGGTCTCCCAAAACCCATCCCAGTAGTGCCATCTAGCCTTGGCAGGAGCTGGGCCCTACCAAGCCCAGGCACACCCAAAGACAAGACTTGTCTTGGCTGCTGCCTATGTAAGTTGACATTAGCGGCCAATTTAAATATTAAAAAAATTGAAAAAAAGGAAAACAAAAAACAAAAAAATTCAGATTTTTGTTCATCTATAAATACCTAGCCATGTTCTTTACTTTTCACACCAAAACTTCATACAAATTCCTCTCTTCATATCTCATGTGAATAGTGGTTGTCATTAGGTTATCATGACAGAGGTGAGAATGCATCATAGGGCATTCAATATTCACGTGAATAGTAATTCCCCTCGCCTCCCTTTGCCTTTTGCCATTACAAATGGGTGGAAGTGCTCTAAGATTGTCTTTTAGGTGAATCAAACCCAGATACACTTTTTTTTAGGGGGGGAGAGGGGAGGCGGAGGGGGAGTGGTTGGCCTACTTTTTCACTGTGGTGCCACCCATGTGCATATGTAATAATAAAGCTTGTGTGTCAATATATCCCTGAAGTTAATCCAAAACTAAACATTTCTATAAGCACAAGGAATAACGTTTTTATTATAATAGAATTAAGAAATCCAAGCGCTATTTGAAAAAGCCAAAAACACTTGAGGTTATTCTCAACTGCTTATTCGAAAAGTGCTTATATGATCCATAAACACTTCCTTATTTGTTCGTCAAACGTTATTAGAAGCACTTAACCCTTTTAAAAGCACTTCCAAACAGGCCTAGCCTGAAATAAGAGAGGGTGACATAAGTAATTGTTAAATAACTATATAGATACAACTTACAAGAGATACTGGGGGAAAGGAAAATCGAATATAAGATCTCGTGTGCAAGGATAAATGCTTTTTACAACTTGAGTTACGAGCATATTGCTCTGCTCAACTAACTCTGTTGCCAAAAAGTTATACTTTTTGGTGTAACCTATTGGACGATTCAGACTTTTTTTACCGACTGCTAAATACAATGTGCAAATTTAAAACTACAGAGACAATGCCTAAAATTATACAAACCAAATTTGTAATTTATTCTAACAATAATAGAGAATTAATTAATGCAAAATTTTAAATTAGTTAACACCACGACCCAGCCACTAGCATAGTGGGAGAACTTAGAAGAAAAATTGGGGTTTAAATTCCAAGCCGTACAGTCGGCTGTCCCGTAATTTAACCTAAACATCAAGGGCAACTCCTTCAATTCTCAAAATTTCAGGATTTTGCCCCTGGAGTCTTTGAGGAGTCTTTGAGTGGTAAAACGTTTTCAAAACCCTCTCTTTCACTCTCTCCCTTTTCCCATCGGATGCTCACAAAACCCTAGCTCTGGCTTCTCTCTCCCGCCCTCTGCTACATTAGGGTTTTGATTCCGTCCTATATATATTGCATTATATAACTTATATTTATCATATAATATTTGGGTTTTTCTATTTTTCCCTTTTTTTTGAATTTTAATTTGGGACGAAGTAGAGTTTAGAGATGGTCTCTGGTTCGCGAATCGAAGGTGGGACTCAGATAATCTCTGCGGGAGTGAGAAAAACCATTCAATCCATCAAAGAAATAGTGCGTAACCACTCCGATATTGATATTTATTGGGCTCTCAAAGAAACCGACATGGATCCTAATGAAACCACCCAGAAATTGCTGAACCAAGGTATCTGCCTTTGACTCTGTGATGCATAGTTTTGTAGCTCCGTGGCTTTGTGCGGTGGCTTTTTTGCCATGTTTTGGGTATTGGGTTTTGTTTGTTTTTGTTATTTTTGAGGTTGGTATTTTCTTTATTGAGAGGTTACTGTGGTGCTCACTGAGGCTTTTATTTTGCTTTCTACCGAGTTTAATTTGTCAACGGTTTGGGCTATTTTAGTTAAGTATTTAGTTTGTGAGTTGTTTTGTGGAATGCAGAACTAATGTTTGTGTTATTGAGGTTATGCCAGTCTAAAAATTTCATCTTGA